TAAGCAAAAAAAAAAAAAAAAAAAGTGTGTTGTTATTATATTTATTTTTTTTAATTTAAATTTTGTTTGTTTGTCTATAGTATTTTTATAGTCATTTTTGTGTTGTGAAATTCTGTCTTTTAAGTACGGTTTGTTTGGCCAATATATGAGGAGGAGTAACCAGAGCAAGGAATGGAATATACTATATTTGATTGATGGTCATCCTGAATTTTGTCTTTTCTGTTAGTAAAAATTTTAGAAAGATTTTTCTTATTTGTAAAAGAGGACTTTATGTTGTAATGTCTAAGCATTGTTCAGATTTGTTCGGAAAGTCCTTTTACATACGGTGTTGTAACGAATTTATCATTTTGCGTTGTCGTTTGTTGTAAGTTAGTATTATTTGTTGAGAGGTTAGTGTTTTTATGTTGTGTGATTTTGTGTGTTGATTGTAATTTTTTTAATCTTATTTTGATATTTTTTTTGAAATATTTTGGGTAACCATTTTGTTGTAATGTTTTTGTTATTAATTTTAGATTTTTGTTTTTGAAATTTTTTGTGATAAAAGGATGGCTCTGTCTGTTAGGTTATGAACCACGTTTTTTGTAACGTAAAGTTTGATTTGATTCAAAATGTAGGTATCTTCCTGACCATGTTGGTTTTTAATACCAATTTGTAATGATGCTTCTAATATATCTAATAAATTTTATGTCAACCCAGTGGGCACCAAGATATCTTTAGGATGGCTTTAGAACGTTCCAAATTTCCTAAAAATATCCCCGAAATGTCAAAAAACGTCTTAAGAATGTCCTGAAATTGTCCCCAAAATGTGTTAAATACGTCTTCAGAAGGTCCCCAGAATGTTCTAAAAATATCCCTGAAATGTCAAAAAATGTTCACAGAGTATTCTAGAAATGTTCCAACCATATCCTGAGAATGTATCAAAAATATGCTGAATATGGCTAAGTAATGTACTAAAATGTTTCAAAATCTTTGATTACCAAAATGAATATTACGTTGAAATTATGTATACTTCATAGGCCAAAGAGTGCGTAATGTAAAGGGTATTAAGTCTTAAACGCCAAACGACTCACAACACCGAAGTTCTTTTGAAGATCCAAATACACAAAAAAAGTATATCGCGATTACTGGTCATATATATTGATCCTTATGGGCTAATTCGCCGAAAAAGGATTATGTTCTGAGAATGTACTAAACATGTCCAAAAAATGTCCAACAGACTTTTTTCTATTATCCTCAATATGTCTAAAAAATGTACTGAAAAGAATCAAATTTTTTCCATAATTTTAAAAATATCTTTAAGGTTTCTTAAGGATATTTTTGTAACTGCTCTAGACCAGACATAGAACTTGTTCTGGATGTCTTTATTTTATTCTTTCTGACATCTACAGGATGCCTTTTTAGGGACATTTTTGGGATGTCCTAAAGATATCTTTAGAACGACTTTTTAACAATGTCCCAAGAACGTTCCGAAAAGGATATCCTTGAGCAGAGTTACCAGATTGGGCTATAAACCGCGTTTTAGGCTATCTTTTGAGCCTCTTTCGCGGCCTAAATTTCATTTTCGCTACAAGTAGCGATTGGGCTATATATTAAGTATATAACGGCGATTTTGGGCTTTGCAACGGTGGAATGTTGGTTTTTATAAAAACACAATGAAAAATAAAATTGTATTGTGCTGACCAACTATTTAAATGAGAAAAATCTGTTGGCGCCGTACCGTGGTAGTAATTTATATTAATTCGTATGTTTTACCCTGTCGGTATTTATATCACTACATGCTCTTTGCTTCGTTACACGAATGTCAAAGGTGCAATAGCACACTCGTATTTCTGTACTTATTTGGTAGTTGTTTGAAAGATTTATTTTATTGAGCGCGAAAGTTTAATTTTCTAAGAGACATGGGAAAGTGGGGAAAATATTTGAAACACTATAATTCGAGATGGAAATCTGAACCGGAACTGAAAAGTAAGTATACATAAAATCTACAACTTAACCTACAAATTCGAGAGAGCTTTTTGTTTTTTCAATAAATAATGTTTTGAAAATTAATTTTAAGTGCTTAGTTTATTAAAAGAATAAAAAGATTGACTTCTTAGATTGGCTTATTCCTTCCTCTGAGACTGATGTGATAGACGGAAAGGCGGAAGCATTTTGCAAATTATGCAAATGTCACATACGTGCCCATCATAGCGATTTAATTGCACACTCAAAACGCATAAAACATAAGGAAAATGAAAAAGCCTTAAACAGATCACAACGAAAAAGCCTACATGATTATGGTAATTATTAATTACTTTAGATTTTTTCAATTAAAAAACATTTTTTTATTGTCCGGAAAAAATAGAATTTCATTTTTGATGGCCATTTTAAACTTCTTTCATTATAGTAACTTTATCACCTTTGATAATTTTTAAAATACGTATTACCATTTTCGTGTTTCTTAGATGTTGTTATTCAAGACGATGACAAGATTGTAGAAATTAAACTCTCTGTGTTCATGGCAATGCATTGTTCCATACGTGTGGTGTTGATCACCTAGGAGAAATGTTGAAAATTTTAGGAAAAGGATCTCATCCCGGAAATATTAGGCTTCATCGAACAAAATGTTCATCGTTAATAGCTAATGTCATTGCACCAGTGCAACTGCAAGAGCTTCTCACGGATATCGGAGATCGTTCATATGCACTCATAGTCGATGAATCGACGGTGTTTCAGTGACAAAATTTATGGGTTTATGCGTTCGTTACTTCAGTTTGAAGCATAAACAGATGGTAACCGATTTTTTGGGAATTATCAAGGTTGTCAGTTGTACTGAAGAAAATCTAGCTAAGGATCTTAAAACTTATCTTTCCTCGATTGGATTGCCTTTTTCTCAATTACATGCTATTGGCACTGATAGTGCTAGCAATATGTGTAATACCTTTTATGCTCATTTGAAAAATGAGCTTCCTCATTTGCAATTGGTTAGATGCGTTTGTCACAGTCTTGACAATTGTACAAAGTTCGCCTACAAAACTGTTCCTTATCAACTTGATTTTATTCTCACGGAAACCTACAACTGGTTTGCTCTCAGTGCAAAACGACAAGGAGAATACACTGACTTCTTTAAAGTAAAAATGTTTTTTTATACCTACTTAAATATTTATAAATTATAAATGTTCTAAAATAATTTTAATTTTTAGGATAGAAACGATGGAAGATCTCCTTTAAAATTGCAAACCTTGTCTAAAACGCGTTGGCTTGTTTGGTTGCCTGTTTCATCAATCGTCGTAGATCAATGGGATGATTTGCGTGATTTTTTTGTACAAAAAGCCGCATCTCAGCCTGATTTCAAAGTGAACACTTTAGCAAATTTGTATAAAGATAATTCTAATCTTTTATACTTGACTTTTTTGAAGACGACACTAAAAGAAGTTAACACTTTGAATTTAGCTTTTGAGCACACAAATGCTGACATCACTAAACTGTATAGTGATCTTCGAAATTTAATGTTTAACGTAGCTAAACGTGTTCTAATAGATAGAGTGATTGCTGACACGTATAGGCCAGGAATTTTAAGGAACGATGAAGTAACGATGTTAAAGACTGCTTTGCGCGTTGTTGACAATTTAAAACCTATCGACCAAGTGAATTTTGGAGACAATTTTACTCAGCTTTCTAGAAGACTCGAGATTCCTCAAAACTCTTTATCTCTTGTAAGGTCGAACTGTGGTAATTTTTTATTAACTCTTTGTCGCCAACTCATTGAAAGGACGACTGAAAACCTTAAAGTCATTGAAAAAGTAAAAAACTTGACACCAAAGTTAACTTTGGCAAGAATAGGTCGACCTGTGTTTGATCAGTTGCCATTAGAATTAGGTAATAGAAATGTTTTTAAAAATTTTATATTTTTTTTAATTCGATCATCTGATCCATAAAATTTAAGTTTTAATGATTACCAGATCCTGCAGTCAATCTTGAAGTTTTAGAGTCTCAATGGCAAGCTCTGAGTGTTTTACCACTTCGTGAAATATGTTTGCATCCAGAGGTAAACGAAAATATTGACACTATTGATATCTATCACTTTTGGGCATGTGTCTTAAATTGTTCGAATGCCATTGGAGAACAGCCTTTCAAGGAACTGGCTCTTTTCGCTCTTCGTTGTCTGACTTTACCAGTTAGCAATGCAGTAGTTGAGCGCATTTTCATTTTATATGAACAATATTAAGACTATAAGAAGGAATAAATTACAGTTGAAAATGTTGGAAGCTCTTCTACGCTTGCGTGTTTACCTTCAGGTATATATATTTGAATATGCAATTATAATTTTATTTCATTTTAAATAGAAAAATAAATGGTTTATTTTTTCTGTTGGAAAATAGGTTTTTGGTCAATGCTGCAAAGACTTTATAGTCACAAAAGATATGCTCAATAGATTTAATAGTCACACCATGTACACACCTCGAAATGCTGCGAATGAAGCACCTTTATATGCCGGAAATTTAATCGCTGACCAATCGAATAACAATGAAGAAGAAGATTTGGAAGTTGATGATCTCACAAATTTAATGGAATTATTTGAAAATAACTTTGACCAATGTGCAAATATCGCTTCGTTTTTTTAATTTGTTTTACGCTTGCGAATGCAATTAAACGACTGATAATATAATTATTTCTAAATGAAATAATTTATATAAAAAAAATCATGATATTTTTAATCCTATTGACTAAAAGTTTAAAATTTGTATTATATATGTAATTATACATATTTCCATACTGGTTTTTTATCTCTAATAATACCGCGGCTTTTGGGTTATATAACAAATCTTACCTTAGATTCATGTTTAGCGCATTCAAGTATCTAGGGAAAGCATACTTTGATTCAGACACTTATTTTTCTGTGGCTTTGTAATAAATAAAAAAATGTATGACCATTCTTGAAAAATAAAAAAGAGCAATTCCTTTTTGTACTTCCAACTTTTAAATTTATTTTATTTATTTGTGTCATGTTTATTTTACAGAAAACTTTCCGATTATTCCTGCTGTGGCGATACCTATGATTTTTCAAAATTATCAAAATTCGACGGGCTGCAGTATTGCAAAACCGATAGCCAGGCATGTTGCAACTTATCATCCCTACCATCCATCGCATTCGCGTCAACCACCACCTCAACATCATTCGATTGAACATTTTTTGTGTCGAGGATCTTTTCTTTCTGGTAAGAAATAAATGTATTATTTATAATCTCATGTAGAAACCAGAATAGAAAAAAACTTCACAAGATTACCATGTTAGTGTTCATTGCACATATGTTTGCAGCAAGTTTTCAATACCAAATTGCAATTGTGCCAACTTTGGGCCAGAAAATGTCCAACCATTAAAAATTTTAAGTCGTTTAAAATACGTTTCGAGAATTTTTGTCAACTGTCAGGCCAACTCTGAGCCTTGGTTGGCAAAACTTTTCAAGACGTATTTTAAACGAGTTAAAATTTTAGTTGGGCCAAACTCTGGGCCTTGGTTGGCCCGACGGTTGGCACCTGGTCAAATCAATTTTGTATTTATATTTACATGTTAGGATAGCGTAGTGGTTAACGTGTTAGCCTGCGGACGTTAAGTCATATGGTAGGCTTAAAGCAACTATAGGTTGCATGAAAATGGCGAAAAAAGTGAAAACGCCACTTTTTTCAGGGTTAATCATACATAAAAAAATGCTTGAATTAAAATCTTAGCAGATTAGTTAAGTAATAAGTTTTTATATATTTTCAAAGATTGGTTTGAGCCAAAATCTTTAAGAAAAATGTTTATTATTTAATTTTAATGAATTTGTTTCCAAGATGCACCACGGATGACGTCCTTCTAAACTGTGACCCTTATTTTGAGGTTATGTCAGTATTTTTTTATGACTTTGACCAAATTTTGAGTTTATGTTGGCCTCCACGCCTATGACCTTTGACGTAAATTTGAGTCTATTCTCCATTGACCTATGACTATGAGTAGATGAGATAATATGAGTATATTTTTATTAACCGCGCCTTTTTCGTTGGTGTTTAGTACCTAGTCAAAAAGAAAGAGTTGTTGAATTTTTTTAAAAATATATAAAGTTGTTGCATAATTAATTTTCATTTTTTTAATATCAAAAAATAAATTTTTTGTAGAGAAATTAATAATATTTGAAATAAATAACGTTTCGACTACTTAATTGCCGTTTCAAATCATAATCTTATAAAAATTTAAAATACTTGAAATACTCATAAAATCTTCATTTGATCGATAGTTGGTTGCTCATTGACCCAACTTTAAATTCAAATGTATAAAATTTATATGTATGCAAAATTTTTTTTAAAAATGTTTTGTGTAAAATAAAGTTCAAAAATAAAAAAAATTTTCATTACACAGCTTTATAGTCCAGAAAAAAGAAAACAATTTTTTTAAATAAAATTTTTTGATTAAAATAAAATTGTAAAAGTTACAGTGGTTAAATTGTCGAAAAACATCTAAAAAACGCCAAAAAAAATACATTTTTCATGAAAAATTAAATTTTATTAATGGGGTGGAAAAATCAGTCCTTAAAATAGACACATTCGCATTACAATAGACTCAGAAAATATGATACAAGTGAAAAAAATATCAATTTAGAAAAAAACTACTCTATATAGGTACATATTATTTTTATTTTTTTACACAAAAATCAGACTTTCTGACTCAATTATCTTGTAATGTATTCATCTTGGCATAATGACCCCAGAAACATTTTTCTTAAAAATTTTATCAGCTACAACTTTGCTATTAAACATTTTTCTCTATCTCTTTATGTTTTTGAGATTTTAATGAAAAAAGCATTTATTTTTACATTCTCATCACATGAGAAGGTATTATAATTGGTCGAAAATTGACTTTTTCTATTTCAATGAAATCTTCACGTTTTGAGATGCCCTGAGTCGAAAAATCATGGTCCGACGAAAGTGTCTGTATGTATGTATGTAGACATAAAATGTTGTTGACACAATAACTTTTGTAAATCGAAACGAATCGATTTGTAATTTTGCACACACAAAGTCACAAACAAGTACACTTGCATGTACCTGTACTTTGTTCCAATTCTTTTTGCAGGTTCGTTTTCTGCTCTTGTACAAGATCACGCGAATGTGCAAGTACTTGAACCTGAACAAGAAAATGTACATGATCTAGTACAAGATTTTTCAACTGGGAATAGTATATAACCCTTAGTTTTATGTATAACAAATTTGAAGTAAATAAAGTAAATTGTTTAATTAAAAAAACTATTTGAAAACAATAATGGAGATGTAATACTAACCCCTTAAATGTATTCGTTCGCTCAAATGTTTCATATATTTGAAAAATCCAAATACTCAAAAACACTTCTAATTCCGCATCATACATTCGAGCGTGAAACGCGAGTGCCATGATGAGAATGTTATCTTTAAAGTCGAAGAACTTTAAGAAAATTAATCCTATATAATAATAATATAATTATTATATATAATTTTTATATTAAAATATTGTAATATAATATTAAATGTATATCCCGTGTAGAAATTGTCTGAAGAAAATCTTATTTGTGGTTTGGCCCTGATCAGGATTGACTGATCACGGCCAGTCTTCAGGGCCTGATCAGGTTCCAGGTTACTTCTAAAAAGGGGTTATTAAAGTTTTTGACAACACATTTAGCTACAATCAATTTTTTAAACGTCATTCTACGACGATTTAAGGAAAAAAATTGTTACTTTAAAAAAGGGTAATAAAAAAAATTCTCATTTCCATCCTAAAATTTAAAAATGAATTAAATACAAAATCTATTAATGCAACTAAATGAATTCACTACCAATTTTTTTCTTAAACTTATTATATTTTATTATATAATTTCATACTGTATTTTATTTTTATTATATTCATTAACAATGATTACAATTGTGAGGATTGAAATCTAAAAGAATATACGTAAAGAAATAAAAACAAAATTTATATTCTTATTTATGTGAAATTCAATTAAGTTATTCACTTACATTATTATTCATATACTTACTTCTTAATTAATAGTTTTATTTATTCACTGAAAAATTGAGAAGGAAATTTTGACATCTATTAAATAAAAAACAATTATTTTAATAGGTTAAGAACTAAATTCAGATTGAAGTTAATAGAAATAATAATTTTAATATTGTATTACTATTATTATTATTATTATTTTTATATAATTATATTTAAATAAATTCTTATTGATTTTAATTAAATTAATTGTGGAATAATTAAAATTATTATTTTATTATTCTGTCCTTTTATATTCAATAAACAAGTTATTTATGTTGTAAATATAAAAAAAGTTTTTCTATATGAGATAAATGCTCTAAAGAGTTCAAAAAAATAAAATTTTTTTAATTGAAAAAGCAAATTGACACGTTTTCCTTCCATATTGAAAAATAGCTTCCTCCACGAGAAAGCAAAATTAATTATTACAAACAATTTTATTAAATTAAAATTTTTTAAAAAATTCACATGAGATTAATGCACCGAAAAGTTCACTTAAATAATGTAGTTTTAATTAAAAAAATATACGCTGCGTTTTCTTCTTATGTTTAAAGAATTAATTATTAAAAGTGATATTTTAAATAACAAACCTTTAAAAAGTATACAATTTGATGAGTTATTTCCTTAATTTATTATTAATTAATATTAATAAATTAATAAAAATAAGTTTATTATTGTATTTATATTAACCTCCATTTCGTATATATCATAATGTAAATGTCAAAAATAAACTTAAATTGACGAAACATTAAACTATTTTAACCTAAGTAAGGCCCTGATCAGAACCTGATTTGGCCCTTATTTTGAAAATATCTATTCAGGTCCTGATCATAAAAAGCGTTTCATTGCATATTCAGGCCCCTATTTTGCCAGATCAGGGCCTGATTGTAACCACGTTTCAATTTCTACACGGGTAGAGTCAGCATAACATTTGGAGCGCGTAGCGCGACGGAGTGTTCTTCGCGCGCCACAACTCAAGGAAAAAGTCCACTTTTTCCACTTCTTACAATGTTTATTAAATTATTTCTATAATCTACACATAAAAATACGTGAAAATAATAAATTTGAAGCCCTTTAGATAAAATTTTTTTTGTTATTGGGAGAAAATTCTTGATTTTTTCTAAAATTATCAGTTTTTTCTTCATAGCACCAGAAAAATCAACTCCAATCATCTTTGCTATATTTTTTTTTGTAATATGCACGTAAAATACGTTAAAATATACAAATTTGAATCCCTTTAAATAAAATTTTGTTCGTTTTTGGTGGAAAAATACATTTTTTTCCTAAAATTATCATTTTTTTTTATTTGATAAAAATTGATCATTAACTCCAATCGTGCTTACATTTTTTCCTTGTAATTTTCACGCAAAAATACATTTATCCAGCAAATATGAACAGTCTGGGTTGAATATTGTGTGCGCTAGGGAGATTAAACCATTTTTTTCGAAATTTTTGATTTTTCGTTGACAACGCTATGTAAATTGATCCGAATCAAGTTCGCTATATTTTTCCTGTAAATTTCACGTAAAAATACGTAAGTGTGCCAAATTTGAGCTCTTTATGTAAAAAAAAGATGATGTGGCCGCTAGGGGGGGGGGTTCATAGTCATTTTTAGGTATTTTTCGTAAAAATCCATGGTTTTTCCTTGACAACGCTATGATAATCAATTCCAATCAGGTTCTCTATATTATTCCTGTAATCTACACACGAAAATACATATTTGTACCAAATTTTAGCCCTCCAGATAAATTCGTGTGGCCGCTAGGGGGGGGGGGGTACACGATTTCAAACAAACCGATATTAATAGGGTTCCGAACCGAGTACGGAAACCTAAAAAGGACATCTCCATATTTTTTTTGGTGAAAATATACATTTTTAGCTTTCAAAAAAAAAAAATAAATAAAAAAAATAAAAAGGACCGAACTTAAAAAAAAATTCGAAAAAAGTTGAATTTTCAACAAAGGGTCAAAATTTAAATTTTTTCAAATTTTTTTTCCACCATTCGAAAGAGCAGGAAAAAACCTTTCGAAAACATATAAGACAAATTTTTCTTCTTCCTTCTGTTTAAAAGTTACAAGTCTTCAAAAATTCACTGTTTAAATTTTTCAAAAATATTCAACCCCCTTCCTCTCCGACAGTGTTTGAAAAAACCTAACAATATCAACTTTTTTT